CCCCCCCCCCTTCCTCCTCCCCATCTCATCCACCCCCTTTACGTTTTACTAGAGCTACTGGAGTGAAGCGTGTTTTTTTAAAACCTGTATCTAATTCATTAGTACTTCATTTTCCATAAACTTGGCACCTAATCCATAATATAAATTCCATTTCCTGGCGCTGTACTACTACGACTTGTCCCCCACAGCTTGAAAATATATATATATTGTATATATGTATAAATAAAACTGGGCATCGGGATTTTGGATATGTGCCCAGAGAGCGTGTCAAGTTCCATCTCTTTGCCTAGCATCCACTTGACAAAATGCACCATTCATGTTGAATTTTGTAATAAAACCTGGGGTGTTATATTTTGCTGAATGTAGCAAATATCTCGAGATTGAGTGACAAATGTGGCCTCATATTTCAGGCGATCTAAATTAACACTATCAACTTTTTCAATAATTCAGGAATGAAATGGTAGAATAAGACACGGAAAGAAAAATATATATATATCCGGATCGGATTCGTACAGGGTGTCCCAAAACTCATTGGGAGACGAAAATTCTAATGAATATTTTTGTCTCTAATGCTTTGTTTATGAGTTATCAATAAAAAGCGGATAGCCAATCAAATGATTTTCCCCGATAGTGAAATCGTACCCCCTCTCCCATTGAAGGCGGTGTTATGATGGCATTGAAAGTCCAATCGATTACAACCAATTTCATCCCTACACGGAGAAAAATGTCCAGTAAAAATTACGGAACTCACAATTCGCTCACCGATTACGGAATCGACTCAGAAAATTTAAGTGACGGTATCGTAATTTTTCACAGGAGATTCAGATAAAAATTACGGAACACTCTGGAAAAATTCCGCGGCAGTTCCGTAAAATTTCCTACATCCACAATTCGCTCCGGAATTACAGAAAAGATACGTAACTTTGATTGAATATTTCTCTCCGTGTAGGCATTAAATGAGAGCAGATATATGAATTTTTTATGTTGAATCTAATTTCCACCTGCCCATTGCGTGTAGGAATTAAATGACTTACGCCGCGGTGAAATTCGTTGCGGGTTTGTTCACCCGGTCATGGTGATAGGTAAACCATTTTTTTCAGATCATTGTTATTAAAGATATCCCAGTATCTTTTACAATTTGGTACAGACCGCACTATAGAGTCAACCATTTTCAAACATTAAATTTGTTAATTAATTTGCGTGAGAAAAACTTGAAAAAAATCATGAATATTCAGCGTTGTTAAAAATATATTTTGCACGGAACTATCATTTTTTCAAACATCCATTGTTTATAAATAAATAATTGAAATTGCTCAACCTTCCGACGAACTAATTTTTTTAGGCACGAGATCGATTTCTCGTAAAATTTTGAATATGAATAAAGTTACGATTCCGAACAAATGATTTTTATGGTAGAAAATTGATCGTTTATAAAATATTTATAGACAATGCTTATTATTTCTTAAAATTGCAAAGTGAACTCTAATTTTTTTTAGATTTTTAAAAATCTTTCATAACGATTCAGTATCGAGATTCAAATTTCGTTCTGCAAAGTTTAAATCATAAAATCATTGAAAAAGGTCCGGAACCTAAGGCTCAAATGAAAGTTCTGATATTCGACTGTAAAAGTATAAAAGCATTTCACTGAAGAAAAAATCCTTCAGGATATCCAAGCAGTTCAGGTTTTTTTTTCTGGGAGAAATTCTCTTCATAATTTATCACATTGACCAAGAGTATTTTTGAAGCACAATATCAACCTTAATTTCGGAACATTTTTCCGAGAAAAAAAATTTCTGGAAAAATTAAATTTAACACATTGCGTTCATAAGATCTGTATACTCCCAACTTCAATCTGTGACGTGGGAGGTTTTCTACCTCCCTTAATCAAGTCGCCTTTCGACTTGAAAACTTATGCCGACTAGTCTCGGTACCAGCTCACGGGGAGTTCGCCCATTTAGGGATGTTTAAGGGAGGATTGATAAATGTTCTCTCACAATAACCGAACTCGGGTGGATATAAGGATGAGTATCCCGAGTGGAAATTCCGGTCAGGTCTTGATCAAGTTCGGATCAGGTTAGACCTGACCACTGATCAGGTATTGATCAAGTTGACGGATCCGGTCTTGATCAGACATGTTACACCTCTGACCAATCCAGATTTGATCAGGACGAATGGATCCGAACTTGATCAAGTCAACTGTATGAAAACCGGATGACCTGTCTGTGAGTATCGATAACAATTATCAATGATAATTAATCCAAAACAAAAGATAATTCAATTCTTTCACCGTAGGCTGCCTCTCTTAATGAATCTCTACTGTTATTACCTCTGAAAAAGCTTATTATTTTTTTACCGATGCTAGGGATCGAACCGGGGACCCTATGATTGCTAATCCTATGCCCTAACCACTACGCTATCTCGCTATTACTATTGAGTAAACTGTACATTGCCTATATGCTTTGTATCGGGGTATTCGTTGAATTTACGATTATTCCTGATTTCGCGGATGTGCGTGTGTATTCTCAAAGATGAAATATGGTCAATTAAATTTTTATTTATTTCATTAATGAATAATAATAATGATAATAACAATAACACTAATAAATAAATAGACATTTGGTGATTTTTTTTTCTCAAAATCATTTGCGTGTACGTTTGACACTCCTCTAATACGTATTTACGGCATCATCCCTTCCCATCATAATCATCGGTTCCCTTACCCGGGTAGAAATTCAACCGGGGATTCAGCCGCAACTCGGGTGAGCGCGAGCTCAGTCTCGGCTTGCCGCTTGACCCGAGTTCACGCCGCGACACATCGCTCCATACCGGCTCATAGTCGAACGCTCATCAGACGGCATAACCCGGCACTTGAGTTTGAGCTGTGGCTCAACGCTTAGAACTCAGCTCCGATTGAGTCGTGTCGTTTCGAGTGGAGGGTGGAATAGAATGATATTTATGCATTTTTAGAATATCGATTTAATATTTTAATACTTTGGAAAATTCTTGTCTTCTTGCTATAAAAAAATGGAATTATACTGAACTTTCTACAAAATTTGAAATTTACAGATTTTTCCCTCTGTCATCGAATACAAAACCTGGCACTTTCTCTAAGAATTCCTATTGAATTTCTATTGGAGCTCTATGAGAATTCTATTTAAGTTTTATTGTAATTCTATTGAAAAATTCTATTTTTTTTTGCGTCAATTCCATTGAAAATTATGCAACTTTCCCCTGCATTTTTAATAGATATTTGTTTGTAGAAAAAAATCCATTTATTTTTCTAAATAATTTATTCTGTTAGGATTTCTTCCACAGAAACAATTGGGCATGAATTTTCCAAGTTTTGTTCCTGCATTTGATGAAAAGAAAAGAAGAAAAACCGAGCGGAAAAAACTTAGAAATCTTACGCCTAAGAAAATCTATAGGAACATAAAAACCTATTTACTTTCTTGCACTAAATTTTACCTTAACAAAAAGACTCTATGAAGTTGCATAATCTTCTATAGAAAGCGCTAGGTTTTTCTGTTGAATTTTTTCATGCGTGTTATTTTGGCATACCTGTATTCAACATTTCCCTAATAAATCGTAGAATATTCTTAGAACTCGTAGGCCTATCGAAAAATGAAGAATATCCTCTCCTGTAGCGTTGATAATTAATAATAAAGGTTCGTTAACGTTTTTCAAGTGATTATTTTTCTTGATTTTGTTTGTTGTATTCGCGAGAAAAAAGAAAGTTTTGACTACGTTTCAGTGAATTGTTCTACCTTGTATTTTCAGATTAATCCCATTCGATTAGTTAATATCACGTTATTTCTGATGAGCTTGTGATTGTTCATCTGAAAAAGCATGACATCTTCACATTTATTCGATTGTTTTTTCACTCAAATCACGATGCCATCGGACCAGTCAAATCATTATTGAGGTTAAGTATACTGGGATTGAGTAATTGGAGATGAACCTGAGGTTGAGCAGTGGCCATTCAACTAAAGCCCGGGGAAGCGTTTCGCATAATAGTCTAACGCTGGGCTGTGAGCGCGTGACGCGGCTCAACCTCGGGTAGATGTGACGCGCGTGGAGTTTATCCCAAGCTGGGGCGGAGTGGCGTATTTCTAGCTGGGATACGGGTTCCGAGCCGAGCTCGAGCGGCGTGATTTCTACCCGGGTTCTGTACATTTAAGAGGGGCTGGCTGTTAATTAAACGGAATAATTAAATTAAATTCATTAAATTAAATTAATTTTATTTAATTTATTTTAATTATAGTATAATGATTCTTTTTAAGGATTGAAAATAATTATTGATA